TATGTGGGACGCGGACTCAGCATGGCCGGAGAAGCGGTGCGTCGGTGCGAGCCCGGGATCCGAACCCGGGTCGCCAGCAGTGGAGCGCGCTCACTTAACCACCAAGCCACGGGGCCGGCCCAGCATTCGCTCTTAATAGTTCCATTTTCTCTTTTCTCTTTCTACTGGGGCTACAATTATATATACATTAGGTCTCTGTATCCTTTCTTTTAATCTCACTTCATATTTTGCATTCTTTTGTCTGTCTGTGCTTATTCTTACATATTTTCTCCTGACCTATATGTTAATTCATTAATTCTTTTTTTAAATATGTTTTATACACTATAAGTCCTTCATTGAAGTTTTGGTTTTGGTTTTTGTATTTACCAGTTCTAGAGTTTTTATTTGTTCTTCTTCAAATCTGATATGCTACTGCTTTATATTTTCCAGTTGTCTTTTGAAAATTTTGATCATGTCTTTTCCTTCCTTTAACATAGTAAGCACAATTAAAAAACAACACGTACTTGCTATTTCTATATCTGGCACACCCTGAGGATGTGTTTCTGTTTACCGTCTAAAAGTCTGGCACACCCTGAGGGTGTGTTTCTGTTTACCGTCTAAAAGTTACCAAGTCAAAAGTTACACGTTTGTGAAGGCTCTGAATACATACCGGCATTTCTCGCTACAAAGTTTAGACCAATCCATTCATTTCTTTATCTATTTTAACCATTTCTTGAGTATCTGCCATGTTCTAGGTATTGTTCTGAGCACTGGTGATACAGGAAAAAACAGACAAGTCTGCTCTTAAGGAGCGTAGACTCAAATAGAATTAGAGATACCAAAAAGAAGTTCAAAATCTGTGAGTTAGTGATAAGCGCTTTTGTGAAAAATAGAAGAAAGTTCAGGGGATGGAGTGTGATGGTGAGACTGAGGTGTGCTATTTTAACAAGTTGGCCAGCTGAGATGACATTCATTAGAGACCTGATGGAAGTGCGGAAGTAAACCATGAGGATATCTGGGAAGAGCATTCCAGGCAGAGGAAACAGCAAGTGCAAAGACCCTGAGGCTGAGGTGTGCTTGGCACGGTCAAGAACTAGCGAGCAGTCCCGTGTGATGAAAGCAGAGGGGCTGAAGGGGAAGGAGCAGTACGTGGGGTCCAAGCTCTCCTCCAGCACTGGCGATGGAGAAGCAGGGCACAGAGGGCCACACGGGGTGTGAGGATTGTGAATTTTATTTGGAGTGAGATGGGAAATGTTTAGACAGTTTTAAACACACGTATTTTTTTTTTTCTTGTGAGGAGGATCAGTCCTGAGCTAACATCCATGCTAATCCTCCTCTTTTTGCTGAGGAAGACCGGCTCTGAGCTAACATCTATTGCCAATCCTCCTCCTTTTTTTTTTCCCCCCCAAAGCCCCAGTAGATAGTTGTATGTCATAGTTGCACATCCTTCTAGTTGCTGTATGTGGGACGCGGCCTCAGCATGGCCGGAGAAGCGGTGCGTCAGTGCGCGCCTGGGATCCGAACCCGGGCCACCAGCAGCAGAGCGCTAACCGCTAAGCCACGGGGCCGGCCCTAAACACACGTATTTTAAAGAGATTGCTCATAGTCATTACCAGTCACGTATTAGAACACCCTTTATAGTACCCTTGCTAATATTTGACTATAAGAATATTATACACATTCTTAATCCTTACCAATTTCATAGATAAATATCATTGTTTAGTGTATATTTCCTTTATTGCAAATGAATATATTTTCATATTCTGTTACTATTTTCTTCTATGAATTATTTATTTGCCTTGTTTGGATTATTTATTTTCCTTGATTTGTTGGTATTTTTATATAGAAACGATATTACCTATTTTCTGTTATCTCTGATCCAAACATTCTCTCCTAGTTCATCATTCACATTTTAACTTTACCATTTCTCAGATATACAGACGTTTGCCTTTTTTATCCTAGTCCAATTTTTGGATCTTTTTTTATTTCTTCCACTGATTTTTTGTTGAAAAAGTACATGATTCCGAGGATAGACAAAAATTTATCTTTATTTTTTAATGAAACTTTTGTGGTTTTGTTTTTATATATATTTCTTTAATTCATTAAAAATGTATTTTTGTGTCTGATATGCGGTAGAGAATGAACTACATATTCTTCAAATTTAACAAGTTATACCAACATCACATATTATTTACTACAGCTCTCTTTCCCGAAACATTTTTAAATGCCACAAATCTCTTTTACTAAATTCCTGTGTATTCTGGCATCTGTTTATTGTTTTTTGTTATGTTGCTTTAATCTATTTGTATACAAATATCAGTATTTACTTATTGTAGCTTTATAATACATTTTTTTTTTTGATTTTATTTATTCATTTTTTTCCCCCCAAAGCCCCAGTAGATAGTTGCATGTCATAGGTTCACATCCTTCTAGTTGCTGTACGTGGGACTCGGCCTCGCGTTGGACGGAGAAGTGGTGCCTCGGGGCGCGCCCGGGATCCGAACCCGGGCCGCCCGCATCAGAGCGCGCGTACTTAACCGCTAAGCCACGGAGCCGGCCCTATAATACATTTTAATATTTACCAGAAAAGGTTTCTCTTTATTTCTTCTACTCAATTATTTATTTGCTAACTCGTTCCAGCATTTTTTGACATTGCATTTTAGAAATGCTTTGTCAAGTTTCAAGACATTCAGTGAAATTTAATTGGTATTATAATAAACTAATATATTAATCTGGGAGAAAATATGTTTTTGATATTGAGTGTTCTCATTTAGGAAAATGGTAAGGAATTTCATTAAAACGTGTATTCTTTTATGTCCTGGCTTAAAACGTTGCAATTTTTTTGATATAGGTAGGTCTTTCAAATTTCTTGTTCACTTTATTCCTTAATATTTTGCTATTTTTATTATAATTATGAATGTCATTTTCCCCAATTACATAATACATGATGAATTCATGCATGTAAAAATGCCGTTAGCTTTGAAAGTTTATTTTGTATTGGAATAACCTTACTGAACAATTCCAGTGATTATAGTTTTTTTAGAGGATTGTCTTAAAATTTCTAGGTAGATATCCATAGATCATTTAAAATAATTGTATGTTTGTCTCCCTCTCCCAAGGCTTACGTCTCTTGTCTCTTAATTATCTCAACACATTGGCTAGGATTTTCAAAGACAGGAAGGGGAACAAAGTTAATCAAGAGAGTTAATCACAGGCCCACGTGTCTGTTCTAGGAGTTCATGAAACCCACTGGAGTATTCACAGGGTGAGAGAGATGGAGACAAGTGTCCTTTATTATGGGCATTATTATTTCCTTGAAAGTTTAAAGGCACTCTCCTCAAAATGTGTGGTCCAGAGCTCTTTAAACAGATTTCATCTCCTCCCCATTTGTTGCCTTATAAGCTTTCTCACTTCTGTCTTTTACATTTGAGTTTCTCTGCTTTTGGGGGATTGGATTTGCTGGAGGTTTCTCTGTCTTCTTTTTTTATTCTCCGTCCCCCAACCCTTCTGTCCAGAACCAACTCTAGGACTTATCAATTCTATTTTTTTTTTTATAAATTCACTATTTTTTACTTTTATCTTTGCTATTTCCTCCTATGGGGTTATTCAGTTGCTCTTTTTTATAGAGTTAAATGACTAGTTTACGGATTTTAATTATTTCTACACTTATTAATAATCATGATATTTAAAGGTATCAACTTGTTCAGAGTGCAGCATGAGTCTCATTCCATGAAGTTTGATATGTTCTCACTGCCATTATTTTCTCAATAGTCTGTAACTATGGCTTTGGATTAAATATAACCAAGAAAGCAAATAATTAGAAGATGAATTTGTTGTTGCTTAATTTTTAAAATTAGTGAATTTTATTTTCATGGGATTTATCATTGTTTTGACTTTAGTTGTAAATTTCTAGATTTACCTCATTGTGATTGGACCGTATAGTCTACAAAATTTCCTCTGTTGGGACTCTGAGTTTTTCATAGGTACTTATGAGTGTGATCTATTAAATACATTATTCTTATTATATAACCAGAATCTTTTAGATCCTTATTTGATTAGCAAATTTGTCGAATCCAGAGTGTGGTAAAATCTCTCACTATAACTGAAACAATTGTATTGTCTTATTGTATTGTCCTTGTATTTCTGAGAGTTTTAGCTTTATATATTTTGATTCACTGCTATTTGGCACATAAACATTTTTGAGAGGTGTAATTTTTATTAGTATAAAATGATTCAATTTGTCATTTAACTTTTTTGCATTGAAAGATATATTATCAGGTTGAAAGACTAATACTGCCAACCCGATTTCTTTGTGTTAAATTTTTGAAAGATATATCTTGCTTATATTTATTTTTAATCTTCTAGGTCATGTATTTTTAGGTCTATGTCTTTTGAGAAGAGCATGTAATTGGATGTTAATATTTGACTCAACCTTAGCATTTGTCTTTTAATAAGGACTTTTTAAAATTTACTTTTTTTCTCTTCAGAAAGTACTCAACATGTTTTTATTTTATTGGTGATTACCTTTAAATTTTAAAAAATAATTTGAGCCTCTTTTTCTCCACCTAGATCACAAACTGAGGTGATGTTTACTGATCCTTTTCTATGTAAAATAAGGACTATAAGATAACTTCCCCTAGCCTTTAATATACTTTCCAGTATGAGATAATATAATCCAGAATTCTTGATCAACATTATTTAATAGTGGTTGTATATAATGTATCTTCTCTTTCAGAAATTACTTTTACATTTTCATTGCTGTTGCATGAACAGATTTACAATAATCATTTAGGCCACAGTGCTCACTGCCAGACCTTTCAAACCACAACGTCCCCAGGCTTCAGCTCCCTTTATTTTTTATTTTGATGCCTCTCCTGATGACCTGGAGTCTATCCAAAGCTGGAAACTGAAATGTGTATGGGATTTGTGTTCATCCTTGAAATTCAAAAAATTCACTAGGATATGTGCACGTTTTGATTCCTGCCCCTAGTGATTTCAGTGGCTTCGATAACTTTACTCACCAAGTTGTACTTCAATTGAATTGTTTTTTGGATAAATGATTTTAGGGATTCTTCTTCCATTTCCAACTTTTTCTGCTAAGAAATCACACCCACATGAAATTGCATTAGAATCACACACGATACATTTCCAACTACTTGAATGCAATAATAGCGTAAAGAAAACATGACACAGAGCAGACCTTCAATAAACATTGCACAAGAGAAAACAGAACTCATGATGTGACGAAATATCATTCATTAGATGCAGAGAGAATTGCTAAGGGAAAAAACATAAAAGCTGGGCTATCAAGAGAGTTCACTTCACTATTATGTATTTAGTATAAATATAAACTGATGAGATTGTGCAATAAAATCTCATTACCTAATAATCCAAATACACTTCTTAATCAGTAGTTAAGCAAAGCCCTGGCCTATGTCCTCGATGGACAGAAATAATGACCCTAATGCTCTATCTTCAGTCCCACTCCTCCATCGTCCACTCCTGCTTTTCTGTATTCTTTACATCGTTTCCTCTTCTTCAGCTCTTGCATTCCTGCACCCCACTTGATAATCATCTCCCTTGTATTGAATCCCCACTCCTTAGTCTTTCTCCTCTTCTTCCCTTCCCCCTTTGTCCACCAAAACTTAGCAGTCACATTTAGTCCCACATTCCTCCTATATGTTTAGGGTGGGACATGGAAAAGTTAAAGAGGGGAGCTAGGAAAATGCAAAAACATGTCCTTTATGATGCCAATAATATTTGCACATTCTACAAACTATTCAAATTCAGGATGTCCCAAACAGAAGTCACCACCAGCTAGCTCATGTACCACCTTCCACTAGATCACACACGTCTAAAAGCTGGAAGTCATTCTAGGCAATAGCTTTCCTCTCACCCTCTTCAAATTATCAATCACCAAGTCAAACTAATGTTACCTCTTAACACTTCTCAGTCTGCGCCTCTTTCTCTGCTTCTAAACCCTCTATTTTCTATTCTCTCCTCTTTCTCCAGGCTCTCTCATTTACACCCACCTCTTCAATTCACATCTAAAGGCAATGAGTTTGAAAGCTGTATCTCCAGACCTTTCTCTAAGCTCCAGACCCACATAGGCCATGGCCAACTTGACATCTCCATTTGGGCATCTCAAAAGCACCAAGTATTCAGGTTGCCCATGACCAAATCCATGATCGCACTCCTAAATCCGGTTTTCCTCCAGAGTTATCTTATTTCATTAAATAATAGCACCATCCAGTCAGCTGCTTATGCCGAAAGGCCTAGCTTCCTTGACCTTGGCACACCCTTCACCCATATTCAATCCAACACTAAGACCTGTGGGTTTTACCTCCTAAAATGCCTCAACTCCATCCACATCTCTCCATCTTCAGTGCCACCATGTTGCCTGTGCCTACTGGATGTCTCACCTGCATTTCTGCACCTGCCTTCTAACTGCCGCTCCTTTCTGTGTAGGGATCATTCTGTGCATAGCAGCCACACGGAGCTTTCAGAAATGTAAGCCACACCATGTCCCTCTCCTGCTCTCAACCCCTCTGGCTGCTTACCATTGTTCTTAGAATAAAATCCATATTCCCTGCTTCGAATTGCATGTTCCTACCTAATCTTGGCCCCTGACTACTTCCCCAAGCTTATTACCTACCATGATCCTCACTTAGCATCACTCCAGCCAACCTGCCTACTTCCCATCCTTCAGCCATACCATGGTCTATCTTGTTATAGGGCCTTCACTTCCGCTGCTCCCTCACCCATTCCAGCACTCAGTTAATGCTTCGTGACCATCAGCATCACTATTATCGGGAAGCTTTCCCTGACCCACTGCCTTCTGAACAGACCCCTGTCTGTTTGATCTCATGCTTTCCTTTCCTTCACTGCATTAATCTCCTCGGTAGTTACACACCGCCCATTAGTAATTATCTGACTCACCTCTTCCTCTCCTCCCTGCTCAGGCTCCCTCAGAGCAGCGGTCACAGCTGCTTTCCTCACCATCATGTTCTCTCTGTCTGCCGCAGGACCTGGCCTTGTTAGCAGTCAGTAGAGTCACTGCCTGAAGAAGAAGAACCCCTTCCACCTCAAGCCAGCTTCAGATTATCAGCACTCTTCTGGATATTGCAGCCGCCGCCTACGTGCTCTCCAGGCCTCAAGACCCTCTTCAACTCCTGCTCAAATCATCTCAAGACTGATCTCACCCATCTCAAGTGCAGCCTCATCACTCTGCACTTGGCCCACCCAGAGGCTCTTCAGTGGCTGCATGGTACAGCCTGCATAGAACCGGCCCCCTCGGCCTTGTCCCTGGTTAACTCTGTGGCCTCAGCTCCCACCCCTCCTCACCGCATACTTATGCTCTAACAAGATTAGTTTTAGATCCAACATAAACTGTAATGGCAAACACTTCCATGCTTCCCCTTATACTGTTCTCTCTGCCCCTCCTCATTCTTTTTCACTTCTGTAAATCCTACTTGTCCTTCAAAATTCAGCTGAGAAGACATTTCCTCTTGGAAGCCTTCCAAGAATTTTCTTGCCACCCCTGTGGCTACTTCTAATTCTTTTCCTGCTCCCCCAGATGCTGTCTATAACTCTATCCTTACCACATAATGTTAAAATGATCCATTTATATCTCTATATCTCTCCACTACCACCAGGCTGAGAGCTTCTCAATAGAAGAAACTGTTTTTTATTTTTTTAATTATTAGGTTCTAACAATTTTTGGCATATAATAGATCATAAATAAATGTTTACTGCAGTGACATGAAGTATAGACTGTTGGACTCAGTGGTCTCTTGAAGTATTCTTCATTTTGCCTTTGAAATTTTGCCTTTTGAAGAATTCCCTCAGCCATCAATGTAAAACTAAAGCATGAGAGTAGTCAATCATTCAGTTAAGGAATAGATCTGCGCCTAGTCTAGGCCGGGCACTGGACGAGGTGTTGGGGATTCAACTGTGAACAAGACAAAGAAGGTGCTCACTTTTGGAGAGATACTCAGTTAGCATAAAACCCAAGAGCATAAAAATCATAAAATCTAACGCAATTAATTTTCCTAAGTAAAGGGTTCCGGGTAGGAAGCAGCAAACCACCCATGAACACATCCCCCAAGAGAGCCACACCCTAGAAATTGCTAAGTATCCCCTAGTATTATGAAGTCAGACAGAAACTAGAAACAAACATGAAGGTCCACGTCAAAGTAACATTCAGCTTTCAGTTTTTTCCATTTAGAGGAGTAAATATAGAAAGTAACTCTCTACTGAAGAAAAAGCAAAAGGCAACATAGCAAGAACTCCTTGTTGAATGTGTTTAGAAGAAAAAAAGGCTTGTCTGGGCACTAAAGCCTGAGTCCTGGCCCTGTTTCTGCCACTAACCAGCTTTCTAAGTCACTCCCCTCCTAGGACTCTATAAAACTAAGGGCGTGAGCTAAATTATTTTTAGGGTTTCTTCTACCCCTAAGATTCTGCTTTCAAATCTCCATGTCATATGTTCAAGAAAAGTGGCTGTTCTGGGCTGAAAACTGAAGCTCCGTGAGCATTAGGTTTCCAGGAACCAAGTCCAGAGACCTTGAACTCCGCAGCGCCTAAGGCAGGGGAGGCCAACGCTGGAACGGCCCACTGCAATAGTCACACCAGGGAAGAGTGAGGGAAATAAGGGTAATATTAATAATATCTGCCATCTCCTGAATACCTATACTTTCCCAGGCACCCCATAGTTACTCTATATACATGATCTCATTTAATTTTCATATATAAACCAAGAGTTTTGAATATTCTGTTTTTTCAGATGAGAAAACTAAACTGTTCATGCCCTTTTGCCTTACTCTTTCTACTCTTTGAGAGCCTGCTAACTTTCAGGAAGATCAAGATCAAGAATTACTTCTGCCCTAAGCCAGCCATCCCCGGCAAAGCCAAGAGGAAGTTGAGACAACGAACATGAGCATACTTACTGACATTTACAGTAATACTGTTTAAAACAGTGTACTGTTTCCCTGTGTGTGTCAGTCTGGCTTGACATGCATAGTTCCCTCTGTCCTCTGCTGAGACATTGTTCACCGAAAGCTTTATGCCCCAAGAAGCAAACCGCTCTCCTTCAATCTCTTTACAGTCCTAAATACAAAAAAAAAAATTCAATTCAAAGAGTATTTTGGGGTATCAGTTACATTCCTAGTTAGTGCCATCCTATGAACTATGGGGAAATACAAGAAACCCAGTGATCCCTAGACCTTAGGCAATTTATAATCTAACTGCAGACCATATACACACACACACACACAGATATATTCAGAAGACTTGATAAAGAATATTTTACAAGCTACAATGAGTGCTATAAATATTAAGTCTAATATGAGTTGAGAGGAGAGAGGCCTATGGCCTATGTAGTCTGGAAGGGAGACTTCATGGAGGAGGACTGGGGCTGGTCCATAAAGGAATTTGGTAGGAGCACGTGAACAGGCAGGAATGTCCTCCACCTACAGGGTCCCATCTATCTCAATGGACCACCATCTAATGGCACCAAGCCCCTTTGCCAAGACTGCAAGCCCAGGTGAATAATTATTGCTTCCACTGTGTTACAGGCCCAATTACACCTTCTCCACCAATCAGGGGTTGGACCTTCCAGAAGTCCAAAATAACTCTTCACCAACATTCTGTTTGACCTGAGCAATAATCAAAGTATGCCGGCCAAGCCTACAGGGAGCAGATGTGTAACTCCTTACGTCACCCTAGCTCACATGATGCTTCCACTGCATCCACACCAAACCAACTTGAAGACTGGTTAGTCTCAGGAATGCCTTTCTCACTTGTCATCCTCATCAACCACTCAAGAGAGTAAGCCTCACCATTCATCTGTCCTGTCATAAGCTCACATTCTCATGCTAACCACCACTTCTTCCATCTCACAGGCCCACTTCTGAACTCTCTCTCAAACACTTTCCCCTTTCTTCAGGAAGTTCCACTCTACAGAGTAACTTCTTGGACAACTGAGTCTATCTTATTCATTCAAACATTTAAGTTCCTGCTCTCTGCTAGCATTGTGAGAGGCCCTGCTCATGCAGAAATAAGATGTAGTCCCTGTCCTTGGAAAGTTCACAATCATTATAATAGAGAAGACAAACATATCAACCCCTAATTTATAAATAAAGATTTAATTGCCCAAGTTTTGAGCTCTCTCCTCGCTGAGTCAGCCACAGCTCAGCATCAGACCTCATTCTCCACCATTGGAACAGTGTTAATGGATTCATCTCAAAAGGTGGAACTCAGTAATGCCAGAATGAGCATTTGCTTATTTACAATGTGAACTACAACTTTCTAAAAGTCTTACATTATTTCTCTATAAACACCCTATATGGGAAACTAAAGGATAATTGGACAATTGCTTACCAAATAGAATGGGAATTACTACTACGAGCCAGATGAGTGAAGGCATCAGACTCTGACAATGTGATGTCGCCTTCTTTAGAGTAGGAATAAACAAAAAGCTGGAGTCCTTGGGCTATAGAAACCTCTTCCCTAGCCGGGGCTTGGATAGGCACAATCTCTGGGCCGCCCCTTCTTTGCTTCCATTGTTGACCAATCCCCTTTCTGATTGACTCATTCTTTTTTTCAACGTGTACAAACATTTAATCATATTAAAGTTTAGCCTTGCTAGCTTAAGAGCCATTCTGTCCTTTTACAATAAATAGAACCGCCTCTACTGTAACCCACTGGGGCATTATTTTAGAGTTTAAATTCTCGGAATGCTCTTATTTTTATTTAAAAATTCTTGGGTGATATCTCACTAAAAAGATTTAAAATTAAAATATTAACAATAATAACAGCCAATCTTTGAATGTGTTTTATATTTCAAGCACCAAGAAGAACACTCCTGGGCCAGCATTTACAATGGTTCCGAGCCATAAAATAGCCCAGAACATTCTGGCTAAGATGTCGTGGCTACAGGAGAGTGATGGAGATGAAACTGGTGAGGCCAACAGAGCCCAATCATAGAAAACCATGAAAAGGGAACGAACATCTGAAGCTTTCTGAGCAAGAGAATAAGATGATCATATTTTCTTTTGAGGATGATCTATCTGGTTGCTCTGTGGGAAAGGATTAAAGATGGGGCAATCCTAAAGACTAAGAAACAATTTAGGAAGTTATTTCCATAAACTAAGGCTAAGCAGAGCATGAAATAAGGCAGAAAGTAGGGATAGCAAGAAGGGAACAGAAAACAATGATTTTAAGCAGTTCCAATCCACAGAATTTGGTAACAAATCTGGAATATGGAAAGAAGACAGGACTTCTATGGTCTCAGCTTGGGTATGCAAAGGTGTTGTTAGATAAGGGAAAGAATGCAGAGAAAATACAGAAGAATGATCAGATTTGGGGGTAAGAAAAAAAGTGACTCTAAACGTGATGACTCTGGGGAGTTGGGGATGGGAATGTCTAAGTAGAATGTATATTAGGCTGTTGTACAAAGTATTTGGAGGTTGAGAGAACAGCCAAGGTGGGAGAAAGAGAATTGGGAGCCATCTGTATATGGATGGTCCTGAGCTACCCATTTGAGTGCAATCAAAGCAAGAACAGAAGATGACCATGGCTGAAATTGGAAACCCCAAAATCTAAGACCCAAACATAGAGGATGAGAATACAGTGATGATTACTAAGGAAGGGCTGGGGCGGGGGGAAACAGAGACAAAGAAGGAGTAAATCTCAGAAGGAAGAGAAAAGGGAGTTCTTAGTTGATGGGAATTTCCAGTAGTGACGGATGCCACGAAGAGAACTTGTTAAAGATCTCAAGGAGATCTGGGCCAGAACCACACTGCAGAACTAGCTCACATGATAGCTGCTACTTCTACCACAGTCATGTCAGTGGGAATCAAGACTTTGAAATACACCACCTGCAAGTAAGAGACCAGGAGTAACCAGTTATGCAACTATATGGTGTGAAATCATGCCACATCTGGTAGAGCCACACCAACAAATAAATCGGAAGACATCTGCACTGCTTCTCAGCTCCCATAAACCTAGTGACTGGACCTGGAACACCACTGCAGAAAATTTCCACGTCCGTGCTGTCTTGTAGAAAAAGCAGGAAGATCCACCATCTTCACTTTGGCCTTTCAGTGAAGCCAGGTGGAGAAACTAAATCAGATCCAGAATCTTAGCTACAAGCAACTCTAGAAAACATAGGGTGTGTTTTTCATTGTTTTGTTCGTATTTTTTAGCTTTATAGCCTCTATAGTTTAAAGAGGCCCATCATGGATAATGACTGTCTACCCACCATATCTGTCCTATTTTTCTACCCAAACTTTCTATCCATCCAACCCATTTTTCTATATTAACTTGAATCAGTCCCCTTAACCCTCTATTTTCTCCTAATTTCCAGTTTCCTTCAGGTCTCATTTCCTTTCCTATCCAACCTAGCCTCATGTGGTCATTACTTTAATCACCCCTCTTCCAATTCCCCACCTCTGTAGCCCTTACGCATCCTGCAAAACTCCCATCCTGAGTCGATCCTGCCATCCCTCTCCTACAACCAGATGAGCACCAGAGGAGATAATCACATAAACATGGGTATTGGCACCACTACCAATTCATGGTCTTCTCCTTAGAAATTCTTTGCATCTCCTTCAACTCTTTCTCCCACCTATTACCTATGTTGCTCTTTCCAATTTTCCACAAAACATCTCCTTCCAATTAACAGGGAAAATAGGGGCCATCAAGAATGAGTCCCTTCCTCTTAATCTCCTCTTCCTTTTCCCTCATTCTATCAGTGCTACTTCACACTGTTAAATGACCCCCATTTCTTCACTAAATTTCTAAAGTAGGCTAAATGATCAACATGCCACCATTCTTAAGCCCTTCCAATTTACTCACTACAATGCCTTCATGAGGACTTTACTAGAATGTAAAGTTGATCAAGTCATTATCCCAATGGTGTGATTAGCTGTTAAAATACTGTAAGTGGAGAAAAGGCTAGGTGTAGGTTAACACACAAGGTCTTCTACTTTCTAGCATCACCTTACCCCACTCTTCCATGTAGCCTAAACTCTGACCAATGCCCCCAACCACAATTCTCTTTCTCACTTAATCCCTTTGCACATGCTATTTCCTCGAATTACCATCCTTCCTTCCCTTCCCCACCAGCTTAACTGCTATTCATTCTTTAAGCAGAGCTCAGCAGTCACCTCCTCCGGGAAGCATTTCCTCAGACATTCCCAGTGTCTGATCTAATTTTGCCTTCTTTATGTTCACCTCACACTATAATAAAATTTTTAGTTCACTCGTCTGCCTCCTCTGGTAAATTATAACTTTTTTGAAGGCAGAGTCTCTCTTTCATCATTACATCCCCAGTGCCTGGCACAGCACCAGGCAGATAATAGGCTCTAAATATTTGGAGAATTGATCCCAACCATCTCATTTCACAGATGAAAACACTGAGGCCCAGAGAGTGACCCAAGACCTGAGAACTACTAGCGGTAAAACAAAGCCATAACTGAGGTCACTGCATCTGAGCAGGTGGGACAGTTTCAGAATCATCCCTTCTCCTTGGATGCCTCTTGTCTCTTAGCCTCCTCCTATCTTCTCAAGCTGAGTGGTTATTTTAAAAATAAAGATGCGTGAGCCCCACCCATGGATAACCTGATTCAGTTGGTAGAGAAAGAGGCCAAGCATCTGCTTTTTCAAAAAGTCCATAAGATAAAATCTGATGCGCACTTAGGATTGATAATTGCAGCTGTGAGTCCATCTCCAAGACTTAACAGAAATTGAAATTTATATTAAATGATGATAAATGATTATAACACTTCCTACGTTGCTAATAATCACCCAGTTCCTCAAAGTCTGATCATACTGGAACAGGAGAGAAGAGGTTTTATCCTCAGGCTAGCAATCTTAAGGCTTGGAAAGCCCTCTGAAATCTTGTAGTCTAAACCCTCATTTTATAAGTGAGAAAACAGACTCAACACATCTGTAACTTGACACTGAGGTGATGGCAGAGTTGATTCTAAAAATCCACCTCTCTACAAATGTCAAGTGCTTTCACGTCTATTTCTAGAACAGGTCCAGGTCAGGAGGAAAAAAAATGGCAGAAGAGTCCTACTGTCAAGACTCTAAAAAGTCATGAG